TTTTTATTTAATGGTATATGTCTTAATGCACAGTAATTGCATTAGTTTGGGGAAATTGCTATGAGCTGATGTGTTTTTCTACAATCACTTATCACAGTTGTAATCGATGATTATAATTAGTAGTTTAGTGTTTGTCTCCTCTACTGCTCTGGATTTTGGATGGATGAAAGTAGTCTTAACTAGTTTTATCACATCTTTTGTATGTCACACATAGTGGATAAGTACCTGGCCCATAGTAGATGCCTATGCATATTTATTTCACGAATGAATGAATACATGAAATACCAGGAAGTGATGTCTTCCATAGTGTGGTCTTCTGTATAAAAAAGAAAAAGGTCAGGCATGGTAGTACACACCTGAAAACCCAGCTCTCTGGGAAACAGATAAGAAGATCACAAGCTTCAGCCCAGGCAGTATAACATAACAACTTAGGGAGACCCTTAGGTTGGGATGTCTCTCAGGGCAAAGGGCCTGGGTTCAATCTTTAGTACCAAAAGAAAGGGGAGCGGGGAGGGAGAGAGAGAGAGGAAGGGGAGGAGGAGGGGGGGAAAGACAAGTAAAGGAAAGAATATGACAGGTGAAGGTTCATCCTGGCCCCGCATCTCTCTTTCTGCCAATTCTAAGGAGTTGGTCACTGCTCATACAGAGATATGCTGTTCACATTCCTGGGGTTCAAAGCAGAGGAGACTCACAGGAGAAAAAGTGTGACAAGCCGCCCCTCACACGGCTGCCCCATTTTATTTGCTTTGTCCCCCTACCTATTGCTGTTTGGATGCAGTTTCAATGATTTTGTTTACTTTGGTGGAAGGAAAAAAAAAGAAGATTCACTGAAGGTATAAAATTGCATATTATTTACTCCAGAGGAGAGAATTGTCCCCTTAGTAAATATGCATCGAAGCATTTTTATTTGTATTTGTATATTTTAAGATGTTTAAATAGACCCAGCAGACCGTAATATCTCTGTTCAGAGTTGGTGCCATCTATTGATTAAACATGCATTTATACATTTCTTCTTTTTTTTAAAATAAGAGAGACATATGTTTTAACCTGGCAGAATTGATCATGAAAATACATATTTATAAGTTTCCTTACAAAAGAGTTTATCAGGTACACACATTTTTAAAACACATAAGTTATATCTGGATATACATTGATGTTTGCTAAGTGTGGATTTAATTAAAAGGTGAGAGTATGTGAAACTGTGTGCCTGGTGTGTGTACCTAGATGTGGCTTAGGAAAGAGGCTGCTCCACTGAGTGAACATTTTTTAAAGCACAAATATTTTAAAACAAGTCTCATAGCAGGTGAGTGACAAGGTAAGCTTCAAACCCAAGGTTTCATGCTTTCAGAGTAAATGTCTCCCTAAAGAGAGGTGATCATCTTAGGCACTATTATTTTATAGAATATCCCCAAACAGAGAATAGTAAAAGAACGTAAACTTTGAATAATACCTGAAGTTTATCTGTGACTTTCTGTAACCTGGTCTGTTTCTTCATCTGTGGAGTGGACTAGCATTAAGGGAACAATAAAAATTAAGAACAGCACAGAGCACCTAGGATTTTGGTGGAGCCCACACAAGGACGTGTGTTCCTGTCCTCCTGAGTTTCCTGAGTGCCAGTGTGCTATAGCTTGAATCTTATGTGTCCCCCAAGGTGCCTGTGTTCAAGGCTTGGTCCTCAGTGTAGTGAGCCACTGAGAGGCGGGGCATGTTTGAGAGATGGGGCCTAGGGTCTGGGATTCCAGCCTCTTCCTGTTTCTGTCTTAATTTCCAGCAGTAGGAGTGTAGTTTGGCTCCACCCTTCCTAAGTATTCTGTGCCTCTTGAGAAGTCTGAAGGTAGTGTATTCCCCATCATGGATGGGCACCTCCAAAATAGCCAAAATAAGCCTTTCCCCTTTATGAGTCGATCATCTCAAGTGTTTGTGGCAGAGATGGAATGCTGACTGGCAGCATGTGTGTGTCTCTCTTTCCTGATGGTGTGGTGCAGGGCTGTGCACAGTGCTTCTCTGTGTTCTCTGGGTGCTTAGTGCTTAGTTGATATCTGAAGAGCCTGCTGAGCCCCCTGGGTAGGGGCTGCTCCTCCCCAGCAGCAATGCCTCTCTCTTCCTCTCCTGCATCTGGCAGGCCTAGCCCCAACTCCGGTGTGCAGGAGCTGCTCGCAACACTGGAGAAGCTATGTAAATTCTGGTGCAGTTTCTTTCTCTACACTTTGTGGATCCTGGCACCTACTTCAATGGTTTGTTGAGAAAGTAAATACAGGCTATAATAGAATTCCTGGTACATGGATTTCTGGTTTTTTTAATTGAGTTTATTGGTACTTTTCAAGTATACAGTACAGTTACATTCATCATTGAGATCTTGTACCTTTACATGACAGGTCTTGGCTCTCATTTTTTCCCCATACCTCTGCCCTCCCCTCACCCCCTCCATGCCTCCTGTTTACAAAGACTTTGTTTCCATTTTTTCTTTTCTCATATTTTTTCTTTTCCATTATTTCCTTTCCCCTATTCCTCCCACTTCCCCTACACCTTTAGCCCTTTCCTTCCTGTTTCACATTATCAGTTATACAATTAGGATCTTATTTACACTTTTAGTTTTTCACACCAGAGAAACTATTCAGTATTTAGCACGTGTGCCTTATTTATTTCATTTAAGAGTATGGCCTCAATCTGCATCCATTTTCCTATGAATGACTCTAGTTTCTCATTCTTTATGACTGAGTGCTCCATTTTGCAGAAAAACACATCTTCTTTATCTAGTCTCCAACTGATGGGAAATTAGGCTGTTTCCAAGTTTTAACTACTACAAACTGTGCTGCTATAAACATAGCTGTGCCTATATCACTGTGGTATGTTGTGGTACGTGGATTTCAATACTGTGATTACATGATATCTGTCATCTTTATGCCCTCAGTCCCCAAGTTCTATTGATTCTCCTCTTTCACACATAGCCCCCTTCTTTCCCTCTTCCACTGCTCCCACCCAGCTCCAGAATGTGTCAGACCCTGGCCAGGTCCATTAGTAAGTAAGTTTGTCTCAGGGTGTCCCAGACTCAGGTCTATAAATCACACCCCTGCTTCAGAGTCATCCCCAGCTCAAAAACAAGTTAACTGCTTCCTGGCAGCAATTTCAGAATCATCCCCTTGGAGCCCAGGTCTCTCTCACTGTTTCCCACATTCTCCCCCAACTCATCTCAGCTTTTCCCTAAAGAGTTTTCATGCAAGTCTTCCACCTCCTCTACCAGACCAGACAGCCTTATAGTTATGGCGTGGGTCCCTGCAGGCCACTCCAGCCCAGCTGTGTTTTCCAGAGCATTCTCTACTGGTGCCTGTGTACTTCCATGGGATCCTATCACTGTTATGAGGCCTCACACATCAGCTTGTGACACACCTGTAACTATGGGTTCTGCAGAATTTAATACCTAGAGTGTATAGGCCTTACTACCTTTTATATATATTCACAAACATGCTGCTATCTCCAAATGTATTATAGCCCATTTTCAGACAGGAAAAATCATAGTGTTCTTATGCTCTGCCTTGAAAGAAAAGGACTTTATACGAAGCAGAAACTTCTTAGTAAGGATAGGTTGATGATATTATATACATTCACAAACATTCCAAATGTATTATAGCCCATTTTCAGACAGGAAAAATCATAGTGTTCTTATGTTCTGCCTTGAAAGAAAAGGACTTTATACGAAGCAGAAACTTCTTAGTAAGGATAGGTTGATGATATTACCTAGCATCTTGTGTTGTCCATTGGATCCATAAAGTTCATAAGGAGAGCAGTAATCAATTATTCTATAGTACTTCCTTAAAAGCAAACAAGTCTGTTTTCTAGAGAGGGAGGGGCTGAGAGCCAAATAACTTGGTTGCTTAATAGAAACTGCATGGATTTTGTAATACACAGACCTTGAGGGTGCGGCATTCTGTCAGCTGGCATCTTTTCTCCTAGCCAAGGAATCCCAGAGAGCAATGTCTGAGGCAAGACTCTGGTGAGGAGTGATTGAAATAGCTCCTGGGAGTACCTGTCACATAGTGGGTACTTGGGAAAGTATTATGAATTATAGGAAAGAAGGAAGGAAAAGTGTACCTCCCTAGAAAGTCGCTCACCCACTGATCTCAGGCTGAGCATGCACTGAGCTAGAATCCATCTGGGAGAGACATCCTCTCCCCAGTCCCTCCTGCAATGCCTTCTCCAGGTACAGAGTATGGTTCAGGGGGCACTCTGTGCTGGGCTGCAGGCCTATTTAGGGTAGATGCCTGTGTGGTAAGATTCTAAGATGCATCCCACCCAGAAATACTATCCACACAAACTGTCATCCCACAAGAGGTAAACTGGATCATGAGAAGCAAAAGCAAGGAAATCAGGCCAAAAGCCATAGGTACCCCTCCCTCTGTGGGCTTCTCCTCTTAAAGACTTCTGATGACTTCAGCAATTTCTACCTCCTTGAGGTCTAATCTGAATATATCCCTGCCTATGTTGTAATCATAGCAATTGTCTGGGCTTCTAGCGTTGTAGAATTTCAGAATGCTCTAATTGTGGGGAACTGGCCAATTCTCTTTGCATCTTTGGTGAAAAGAAAACACACACACACACACACACACACACACACGCACACACACACAATTTAACATGCCCATCTTCCCCTTGGGAAGAAAACCAGATTGTTACCAAGCTCCCAGTAGCAGAATGGGGGACTGGGGTGCAGACTTAAACTCCTGAGCACTCCCTGTGGGCTGCAGATCTGCTGCATCTGTGCCTGGAGACCAGGAGAAAGGAGGAAGGATAGAAACTGGCACTGGCATGGGCATTGGTCACATTTCTGCCAAGGAGCAATCTCTCTCTCTCTCTCTCTCTCTCTCTCTCTGCTATGTCCTGAGCCCTGCTGGGGCCAGGTCTAAACCAACAGTGCCAGACCCACCCCCACTGCCCACCCAGGAGTGGAGTGCCCACGGGAGCGCACGCTGGCGTACTCACAGGGACAGCAGGCGCACTGCTGTGCTCCGGGGAGGGGTGAGCCAGGGGCAGGTTCCAACTCCCCTCGGAGTGGAGCCTTCCAAACAGGAAAGTCTCCTGGTGTCGCTCAGGAGAGTGGAGCCAATGCGTGGCTCGGAGGAGGTCCGCGCGGAGCCCTGTGCAGATTGGTGCTGATGATTCTTACCAGTTGTGTGTATGTGTGCACACACACACACACACACACACACACCCAGAGACGCTGCCTGCCTGCTCCCATCTCTCGCGCACTCTCCTGTTCTCTCCCTCCCTTTGCAAACATTGGATTTAAACCTGTTCAGAATTCAGCACAGAGGAAGGCAGCAGCGGAGGCAGCAGCAGAGGCAGGAGCGAGCCCGGCAGCCTAGCGCACCGCAGCGTCGAGATGTACCATCCCGCCTACTGGATCGTCTTCTCCGCCACGACTGCCTTGCTCTTCATCCCAGGTACCCGGGGTGTTTCCTCTTTCCAGTGTGACTGCGATGCCAGGGCAGGAAGGAAGGGGGAAGGAAGAGAGCTAGGAGGAAGAGAGGGAGTATGAGGGGCATGTGAGGGAAAGAGATAGGCTTGCTACACACACACACACACACACAGGCACGCACGCGCGCGCACACATACACACTGGCTCGCTAGCCTGCTCACACGCACGCAGATGTTCGCAGCACGGGATTTGCTCTCTGTTTGGAGAATCCGTTGACGCACACATACACTGGCTCGCTAGCCTGCTCACACGCACGCAGATGTTCGCAGCACGGGATTTGCTCTCTGTTTGGAGAATCCGTTGAGCTGGGTTCAAGATCTGCACGGTGCTGCTAGGCACTGCTGCTGTTTCTAAGAAAGGTGGCAGCTGGCCTTAAACAGTTGCGGCCCCAGAGCTAGGAAAGGGGGTTAAACCCCCAGCACACATCCTTCTCTTCTGAGTCTCTGTTGGGACCTGAAGGGTGCATGGGACAATCTATTTCTCCCAGCCCTTCCCTCTGATTCTGAATTGGTCTCTGCATCTCTCCTTTTCTCTGTTTTTTTCTGTCTCTTCCAGTATTGTTCCCCCATCCCTTCGGAACCCTCTCTCCTTCTCCAGTATCAGCTCTGTCTTCTCCCCAGCCCTATTCTTTCCTCTTGAATCTGCACTTCTTGTCTTGCACTTCTTGCCTTAGCACAGTCACTCTACAGCTACTCGTCCTCTCCTTACCCTTCCATCAAATGGGCAGATTATTCCTTTGGAATTCAGTCTTCTCAATTTCTACTTTTCACTCATCACATCAGGAATGTGAATTTGCCTTGGCAGAATTTGGGTTGTGCAAACTGAGGGGAGGTCAGGGAATCTGATCCAGGAATCTGGATTTACCTGGTTCCCCTCAGCACCTTTCCTACCTTATCTAATGATTTGGTTAGTTGTTTGAGGAAGTCAATTCTGCAGCGACACAGGTAGCATGCTGCAATCCTACCAAAATAAGCTTAGTGGAAGCATTGCAAAATCCTGCAGCTTAATAGATTTGGTAATTGTACAGGAGTCCTTTGCAAGCAGACAAGTCAATCCCCACAGGCATCTATTCAGTGCCGAGGGGCTCTGTTGTGCTCACCAAGGTTTGAGGAAGCATCAAAGCATCCTGCCTTTCCATACTAAATACCAATCCAGGCAGAATTTCTTTTTTCTTTTTTTTTCCGAATTGAGATAGTTACATTGGATTAAACATTAGCTAAGACCAAAATTCCCATGTTCACAGACATAAATGCTAAGATTCTCAAGCCATATCTTTTCATAGATAAAATACATTCGTTTAACCTTTTTATATTCAAAATTTCTAGTAAGGGTTACACAATTCCCTTAGTACTTTTAAGCCACTAAATTTAAATCAGAAAAATAATAAAAAGTTTACAAGGGAGGAAAAAAAGAGAGAATCAAGATTTGTTTTAAAAAAGAAATCTAGTGTATAATGATTGTAAGCTAAAATTTAAATTAATCTTAACAGTTTAATATTTTAGTTGTTTGTTAGTTGTGCATAACCATGTTCCTGCATGTTTGTTTTAGGCTGAGAAGTTCAGAGCTGGGAGTGGTGGTGTTTTTCTTCTTCCAAATTCCAGCAGCACCCTAGAGGTTTTCAGCCAGGACCTGCTAGGCTGGGCTCTCTGGGCTTAGCTGGGAAGGCAGTGCCTGAGCACTCAGTACCTGCTACAGCCTGGTAGAGGGAGCCAGGTGGGTGCCCTGAGCCCCCTGAAAGATGACAAACTTTACTGCAAATTCAGGTCCAACTGCCTGGAAGCTCCTGGGGGCCGTCTCACTCCCTCCCAGTTCCCACCTGCCCAGCCCTGAAGCAAGGGTCAGACTATCATCCCCAGAGACCTGACAGTGTGGATGGCCCCTCGGGCAGAAGCCAGACTTACACTCCTCTCCTCGAAGGGGAGAGGGTGAGCCCCAGTCACCAAAGCTGCATTGCAGTGCATGCTGAAGAAAGCCCAGAACTAGGGGGAAGACTGTAGGTGTAGTACTTCATGGGCAGGAAGCAGACAGAGATTTTGGAGAAGCATCAGCCAACAAGCTGCTGCTGAAAGGGTCTGGGTCCCCAACCTCAGATGTCCGGGAAGGCAAGACACAAATGTCAGCCCAGTGTCTTTCCTTATACAAGGTCTGCTCCCTCCTCTGAGGGCTGTTCTTTCTGAGAATTGTGCCAGGAACCTGGCCTGAGAGCTCTTAAGCAGGGAGGAGGAAAAGTTGGCCTTGGAAGGTGTCAGTAGAGTGAATGAAAAAGACACATCATGGGGGCTTCTGTGAGGATGGGAACCTAGCTCTATTTCACTCTGAAAGCTCTCTGCATTTACTTGGGACTTCTTTCTGGTCTCTTACACTTCCTTTAGTACCACTTCAGACTGTTTTTTTTTTTTTTTTTTTTTTTTTTTTTT